GCTGAGTGCAACAGATGACTGCGTTGCACGATCTAGAAACTAGTTCAGGAATCTACAACGTGATTAGCAACTGTAACTCCAAACCCGGTGCATTATTTATTAGCGTGTCTGCCGTTTATTAAGTTTAATTTTACCAGATTGGTGACGACTGTTGTAGTAATGTGCACCGAGAGCTGACTATAAAAACAATATCCCACAAACTTACATCGACTATCATAGAGTTCACTATCACCAGGCAGTCCTCTTCTGTACAATGTTCTTTAACTTCGTCTCGTGTGAGCAGCAATGGTAATCGGCTCCCATACTTATTCTTCAGTACTTCACGCGCGGCAACCGCGGTCTTACGATGTATCTCCATTACAAATGAAATAAACTCGATAGAGTACAAGTATTTAGTATTGTGATCTAAAGAATATCTATAAATATATATATATAAGTTATAACGGTGAGCTGGGTTGGTAAACGACGCCCACATTTGGTCAAACGACATGTCATACATGTCATGGCGGAATATTGTAGGACATGTCGGTCGCGATATGACGTCGACGGGTCTGCTGATGTCGTACATGTCGTCACGACATTTGTTTCGTGGTGTACTTTGTTGTGGTATTCATCCCAGCTGATGAGACGATGAGTGATGCCTGATGATTTTTTTTAAAGCGTCAATTTATTTCAACAAAATATTTTAAAACAACCATAGCCAAGGGCAAGAAGACTTTGTTTATACACCACCCGTCACATGGGTGTCGCACAGACAAAGTCAAGTCAACAACGTTGTTTAAAAAGAATAATAAAAATACACGCACATATTGAAAAGTTGGCTATGAATAAACATAACATTGCAAAAAAGCAATGACAGATATTGCACTCTTTGATATCTACGACATATTTAATTCCATAAATGGCACACGACGGCATACGTTGCACTAAAATTAAGTGTACACACTACACACTGACAGCTTACATCAAACACGTTTCAATTAATTAAAATGGAATATACATAATTTGCTTAAGGTTTTACTTCCCTACACCGACAAATGTTTTAACGATTTCACACAGTAAATTATAACCGAGGCTGTATCGATTAATAGATGATTATACGATAATTATATCATGCGTATACGAGATTCCGGTAATGTGAAGGCAAAAATCTCTTGCCCTTGGTCAGCGCATATAAATATGGTTAAATCTGCACTATTTCAATATTTAAAGTGCGATAATTCTACATGAAAATTTTTCATATCATTTTGTTCGTCAGTCTCTGTGCCATAGCTATCGCTTCAATCCCAGATCATTTTGTATGTTATATAGCAGATACATCAGTCCATAAATAATATAACTTAGATGAGGTTTGAACGTCTTGTTACGACCTCAGCGCACGATCAATTTCTTCACTGGCTATTTTGCTGCATGGGGTATGCTAGCCGAACAAACAGCAAGGAGACCATTCATATCTTGACAATCATCAAGTATGGTAATATAGTTGCTGTATTCTCCCGTGTTGATGAAGAATAACAACAAGTACCATTTCTGTCACTACCATATTGACCTTCGGAAATCTAGATCGAAATATGGAACAGATCTCCTAGCTTCATAATTCATTCACACATATTTCCATAGCCTTCTAACAAAAAACAGAAGGCTATGACATTTCATCAATGTAAATATATGCTATTTATGTATAAAGTATAAACCAATAATAAAATAA